TCATTACATGCTTTCAGATTTTCCACAAAATTTTATTTCAAACATACTGCATAACGCTTAGTCCTCGACGGGGGCAGTTAGTAAATATTAATTGGAGTTCCTACTGCAATGTTCCTGCTCATTCACGTCTGTAGCAAGCAGCAAGCAGCAAAAATCACTGATGTACATAACCCAAATTATTGAGAGTGAATATAGATGTCCGTGTTTAGTCGTAGGTTCAGGTCCATGTGCACAATGTATACTAATCACGAAGCGATCACGACAGTCCCAAGGCTTTCCTCATGGCCTGATAATTGGGTGATCCAACGCCAGTGACTGGATCCCAACCTTGTGAGGAAGAAAGTCAGGATGAAGATAGATCGATGCGATTTAGATAAAGACCAACCTTTCAGAGCCGGGAAGCCGGCCGTACCACATCCCGGATTGCTTCCTGAGGATGAAGCAATGAACATTAACGACAAATCCGACAGAGTATTCCTGAACACTGACCGTTTGTGATATCATAAAATGCCTCAGGATGTGCGTAAATCCATGGATTCATGAATCCCAAAGGTGGTTTCCCATTCGATAATAGTTCATCATTCAGCAATGCCACGACAGAGGCGAAAATGGGCGAAGATGCAGAAGTTCCTGCAACTGGACCAACTTCATCAGATTGAATTATTTGAATCTTGTCTCCTTGTGCTGATACGTCTGGATAACCACGTCCAGAACGGTTGAATCGACCTTTGTAGAGGTCATCTCCGATTGCATCTAGGTAAGTTGCAACGGCCTTCTGTTGCCATGATGGTTGATCAAAGTAGTTGGAGAATCCTCCAGCAGAGAGATCCGCTCCCTCCTCTGGGATGTTAGCGGTAGCACCCACAAGAGTAGCGCTGTAGAAGACCTTAGATAAATCGCTTGCTTGAGGCGTATGGCTTACTATGGGCAAGTTGGCCACGCAGCCAAAAATGGCTCGTCGTCACATTTTTCCCCAGGGGAAGAGGCGACCCCTCCATCTCCTGTAGCGTACAAAATCGAGACTCCACGCGCTGTCAGCTTCATGAAGGCATCACACATGGCGCTGCAGAAGTCAGGCAGTGGTTCCATTAGAAAAACAGTAGATTGAAATCGAAATAAGTTTTTGACTCACAAAGTCAAGGATTTTGACAGCCCGCTTTCGTCTGAGGCAACACCATAACTAGTGGTCAGAACCAACGGGGGGTTCGTTTCTGCCAGGAGGTCATTTACAATGTCAAGGAAACCACCATCATCGCCATCGTGGTTGTCGTTACCAATGTCGACGAATGTCGTAGGTATGCCATTCGCAACGCCCACCGTGTACTGGATATCGAGGTTCTGTATCGAGGGTACCAATTTCAGATTAAATAACTTTGTATATTGGACACCACCTACGGCTTCGATGCCTGCATCAGAAATATTCTGGCTATTTGTCGCATCATCCAGAAGTTGTGTAACAAAAGTGGTGTTTGAAGACATATCGGGTCGGAAAAGCTTCAAAAAACTCGCTAGATCGGCCTACATGTTGTTCAGTTGCCCGAATCACATTTGTCACCCTTCAAGTTAGGTACCTTATTTGCATCTTGCCCCCCAAAAGCAGAGACTGAGAAGCCGGAGCACCAGAAAATCAGTAATCCTCGGAGAAAAGATCATTTAATTCTTGCTCACCTCCTATTGTACTATTTGTTTTTGAACTAACTAGTGTCGAAGGAATTCCATACAGCTTTTGTAAACACGCTGGCGTCACGGTGTTGTTACAATTTGAAAAGTCAGACGTGGAGGTAGGAACTTCTGCACTAGAGGTAGAGCTCGAAGAAGCTTTCTTCAAATCTCCTGAAGTTCCATACGAGCCCGATCTGTGATGACCGCTGAGGGAGATGACCCTACCACGAGTTGAGTGGTAGAACCTGTGAGATGAACGTGAATCAGGGAACGGATCGTTATCAATTGCCGCTCAGTATCTGAGCAAACACGACGATTTTCTCGGCCTAAATTGCACACTTACGAGGTAGTCGGATGAATCGCTTTGATATGCTCCTGAAGATCATCCGGTACGCTGTATTCCAAAGTCCTAGTAATTTGCTTCCCACTAGCTGTATGTTCGTATACGTTGTAATTCGCATTGAGCATTGTGTTGGCAGTGCCCACAGGAATACTGAATTTGATCCAGTCCCCTGATGCGGTCGCCGATTTGGAATCGATGTTGTATGATGAGAGCCATTTGTGAACCGAACGAAGGGCTTCTCTAGATGGAGCGGCATGGTACTGGATCTGGTGGAAGAAGGAAAATGATTGAGACAAATATTAAATACGGATAACATCGTACTCACGTCCTCTTGAGATAACCATTGTCCATAACTCTCGCTGTCTGGATCACTAGCCTTGTTCAGCGCGTTTTCGAGGCCCGTCCGGTTCCCCATCGTAAGACTGATCCGCATTTGAATCACCGAGTTGGAGTCTGCGACATCGACAGGGGAGTAACCTTTGGGTACAGCAACCCGGCGATCGTGTATGGACATTGCTCGGCCACTGACAGACGCGCCGTAGGTGACTGCTGTAGAGGCAAGTGACACTAGCATATGCCAATTTGTCAATGAAGAGAAAAGCATGGCTGGTGAGTGCTTGTCACAACCAAGGGGGACGATGACGATGAGGAGTTGCTAAAGGAGGTCAGAATAATGACTTTTATATGCTGTTGCATCGTGTATTGTCTGTATCCCTGCACTCGACTCAATACCTGCCGTCATGTCGAGAAACATGCGCTGCCAGAAAGAAACAGCGCCCTCAGAGCGCCCTAAACAACGCGTAAAATCAATGTGCCATGCAGATTCATTGCGGCTCATTGCGGTGCATACCTCTTGATTTTCAAGAGTCTGGATCTTGGACTCAGCAAGGGAGGATGGTTAGATACCAGCTTCCGTCCAAGGTTGGGTAACGACCTATATTTGATTAATACTCATCACTGAAGATGTCATACGACGTTGAAGGCTGATAACCATCCGATCATGGAAACGAATTTGAGAGCTAAAAGGGAGGAAATGAGAGGAGCTTGGGAAAATTAATCCTCTGCTAGTGCGCTCATGCATGCGAAGGCACTGTCTGGCCTGGCACTGCTCAAGATTGCTTGCTGGGGTCACTAACAAGTACGCCTTTGCAAGAAACGGCCGCCCTTCAGACTGCGTTTGACCGCTCAACCGATGGACTCTTTAATTTTTCCAATGCAAGAGTAATAAGTGCAAATTAAAGTAAGACCACGTGGTAAGGACGAATGTAGCTGGATAAGTAATGATGAAAGGTTCACAGGTGGCAACTGGACAGCGTTGGTCAGTTTAAAAGTGTTGTTGGATACCGATGCATTACTACTATGTCAAGGATTTGTGTATTATTGTACAAAGTAAGGAGCATAATTGTAAGGTCCGTCAAATATTAACATTGCGTTAGTGCGACTCTGGTTGTTCATATCGGGGAACAGAAAGATTTTTGTGTGCCTTCCTCCTTTTACAAGCAGCACGGAATTATGAAACAACATCCACCATCCTGAAAGGTTGAGTTATCATCATCAGTAAAAACTCAAGAACAACTTAACAAAGCTGCGGCTCACCGGACAAGGTATACACCCTCCTCTCAATCTTTGCACTTGAGCATTTCTCTGTTCTCGCTCCTCAGCACTCATCAACGACATCGATTGAGTCGCTGACGGCTGTTGTGCCACGACACTGGCAGGTGCGGTTGGTAAGACTGAGGAGGAAGCTTTCCTCGATACATGTGCAGAGGGCGGGTAAGCTGGTGTCATCGAAGAAGGCATGGCGGTTGCTGGTAAGGTGCGAAGTAAGTCTTCGTGTTCTCAGAGTTATAAGATGAACGTGGGGATGAACTCATTGGAGCACGAGATAATGATGACGTCGAAGGTGGCGCAAACTCTTGGTAGAAGTAAGGATGTGCAGAAATACTGAAAGCTTACACTCTCCAGTAAATTTCGTATTTATACCCCATACTAATACTTTACATGAACGTTGAACAATCGTAATGTAATAAACAGTCGCTTCTTTGGCCTCTTGCCCTAGTAAATCAATAACGATGGAGATAAGTCGGACAGCACTTTCACTGAGCTTCCCTAACCAAGAACTCTACAATTTCCACTGCGCGTTTGAATTGGGCTTTCTGCTCGGGAGTGGCTTGAACGGAGCTCGAGCTAAATGAAGTGGGTTCAGTACATCAGTAAACATAGTAAAGGTAGAATGTAAAGAAGATATATGTATGAGGACATAAAGGCAGAAAAGGGGATTGGTTTCACGAATCGAGAGCGCACGGTGACTATCCCGTTTGGAAAGCAAGATGTACCAAGCAAGATGTTGCAATAGCAAGTCTCAGAAGCCTTATCGTAAAACAGCCAGATCGATAGCGATCACACGTAGCAGAAACGATAAGAAACAACGAATGAAAGAAAACACACCCTGGCTGCCCATTGACACCATTCATTCCACCATTAATCCACTGCAAATCATCGCTTCCCCAAAATATACTTGTATCCAATCCATAGATATCCTCAGATCCCGGAGGCTGCTCAGTCGGCAGCTGCTTCAAAATACCATAGAGCTCATCAACGAGCGCTTCTGTCGACGTCGAAGCACCAGTCAGTTGTGCAGCATTCCCGAGAGTCTTTGGAGCAAAGCTCTGCAGCTCTGGAGTGCCATCAGGCCTGGAAGCAGAGGTAATGTTAAGCGAATCCGAGTCGAATGGCCGGGTGATAGTAGCGATGAAAGAAGGCGTTGGAGGAGCGAAGCCACCAGTTATGCCTGGGAGGAGTGGTTATTCAGTCATTCAGTTCAAGGTGCAATGAATTGTACCTTTCTGCAAGCGAAGGGAATATTCTCTGGGGGCCATGTGAAGTGGTTGGCTTGATAGTAAGTAGTGTACTTATATGTAAATGGAATTGCAGAGCTTTAAAAGGAACTTATATTGAACAGTTGATATAAGGCCGGGATTAATTCATCCTATTGTCCAATGTGGTGTAGTGGTTAACATTGCTGTCTTTCATGGTCCACACAGCAGCCCGGGGTTCGATTCCCCGCATTGGAATTTGTTTTTTTTCGCAAGATCCTGCCATCACTGCATTGAGTATGAACGGCGTTTTGTCGCATTAAACAATGAAAGTTTTCTAACAGACAACGTTGTAAATCTAATGGATGCTTTCACGAGCTCGCCCATAGTTTCGTATATTTCCTGTACTTGCGTCTTTCTTCCGCTGCGTCATTTACTGGTTGACCGGTCCCCTGCACGGAGAGTTTGAATGTCAGGACATGAACATACGACACAGCATTTATTGTCAACACACAACAGTCCATTTCGCAAAGGACACCCATGAAAGTTGACTATTTGAGCTTGACGAAGAGCTTCGGTGCAGCACAATCTTCAACGCAGTGCATCATGCTACAGAGAGGAAGTCGATGCTGAGCGCCGCCGAGAGCAAGAATGCAAAAAGACGTACTGGACTTGTGATGCCAAATGAAAGAGCAGTATGTTTCACGAAGGATTCCGGATACGCATCCGGTCAATGAAGAGAAATATAGCAGCAGGCCGACCGTGAAATAGATTTATAGAGCAGGTCAAAGTTAGAAGACGTATATAGAGAAAAGACCGGAGCGTACACCTGCAAAAGGCAACGAAATCAGATATAGGTTATCCAAAAGTTTTGAGACAGCGTTGAGAGATGTGACTGTTGTAGGCACGTACATTTCCTCTACACAATCCTCTCCTTTGAACCCTTCACCGGCCTGAACTTTTTCATTACAACGCTCAAAATGCTGTGCTAGAGGTGCACATTTTGTCGAGCTTCTACATTCTTCGCGAATAGCAGGGTGCAACTATAGCACGTCCTAAGTAAATGAGCATAGAACGGAAAGTCAAACGTACGTCCTCAGGCTCCTCCTCTTCTTCTTCTTCTTCTTCAGCTGGTGCTTCCTCAGAAGATTCCGAGTCAGTCCTAGAATTATTTTTGTCGGCGGGCTTCTCGTCAGCAGTAGCGTCGGCTTGAATAGTGGGTAAGAGCGAAGAGAAGAAAGATGCGATTGAGCTCATTTTTGGTCTTTTACAGGTTCAAACTTCGGAGACGCAAGTTTCGAACAGGGGGGTGTATTGTTGGGGTCTGTTTACCCAGGCAAATTGCCGTCGTTGTGCTTGATGCAGAGGCAACATCTTACAGACTGGTATACAGTAGCATAAATTGTATGAGAGGGCTTTTCATGAGTACTGGCTACTCAGCTAGCTGAAAATTAATAGTAGTAGCTCTGTACTGCGTATCCCCTTCGGCAAATTTCGGAACGAAGCATGCTATTCTAGGCGCTTAAGAAAGGATCGATGTTCTCCTTCACAAATACCCTGCAACTGGCAATTGGCAGAGACAGTATTGCCCTTCCCCCTATGCATGTCATGATCCCACTGAAAGTCCATCAATCTTTCGCCACTAATCCGGCGGCCACCGCACTTCAGGAACCACAAGCAGGATTTCTTTGTATCTCAAGCATTGCTTCACCAAAATTCACAAACCTAGCTGACTGGAAAACTGAATGAGCAATCACCCTGAGGCCCAGATAGCGAAATCACTGAAAATTGGTCACAACCTTTGCCTTTGCCCACGTTAAATGAGGGCTAGGAAATGAGGAAGTCCGACGGAACCATACCTTCGCATCACTGATGCGGAAGATCACTCATCATGGTGATGTATGTGATACCAAGGATCAGTGAAAAACCAATTTTTCCCCTTCTTTTCAACTTCAACGCTGCTGGTTCGGTAGTTGATTGCCTTTGTCGTGTCATTGAAATCCCATCGTTGGACGCAGCCTCAGATTTCAGTTTTTCTTCAATGTATCTTCGTGGTGTTTCTGCTGTCCTTGCTGCCATTGGCCTTGTTGTCACTACATGTAGTGCAATGCCTCTTTCGCCCGATGTACGTGCTGTCGACCTCGCATTTCGAATATTCTGACGTTAGTTCATGTAGGACGGCGTCAGTAGTCTCGGGCCCCTCCGAAGGTGGATATCATTTGCCAAAAAGACTCCACAGAACACGCCGTCCATAGAATTTTTTATCACTTACTCGAAAGAGAAGCCACCCCTCACTCCTGAGACTCCCCTTGGTTTCGAGGCTGCGACCGACAAAACTGTTCGAAACCAGGTAATCGAATTCATAACCAAAAAAGAAGCTCTACTTGTACTCGGTGTGACTCTTCCCAATTCTCATATCGACTCCAAAAGCCCAGATTATGCCGAAGAGGTTAATAAAGTCGTTAAATTCACTTTCAACAACAAATTTCCATTTGCGAACTTTGGTTCGGATTACCAGTATGTTGGGGATGCCGCGTCATTTATCTTGTATGGAGTGGGATCCGGTGCCAAAGCTTGCACCAAGAGTTCGCCCTGCATAGCAACAGTTGGTATTAGTCTAATCCGCGGGTCATATGGTAAAATTCAGCAGCAATCTGGACAAAAGAGCGTGATCTTCCAGGATCAAGAAAGAAAGGTATGCGTCTGTGAGATCATCCTTCTAGTATCACCTCGCTTATTATTGCCTTTTATTGTTGTTAGTTATCGTATTAGTCGTAGCTAATCATGATATGGAAATCTGGGTGGTGAATTGTTATAAATGTTGTCAAGGCAGAGAGCGAAAGTCCTATATTTTTTGTAGTATATAGACACCAGACAGAGTGACAGAATATAGAGCCCTTCAATGCACTCGCTGATTCCGAGTACTGAGCCCGATGTCCAGCATCCGGCGATTATGCCGGAAAAGGTCATCCACTCCGGGGTGACCGACAGTGCCAGCCGGAATCAGAACTTTCTCACCAAACCATGGTACTTGTCCTCGTACTCGGTGACTTACACATTCCACATCGAATCCATGACCTCCCACACAAGTTCAAGAAACTACTGGCACCTGGGAAAATCTCCCAAGTCCTGTGTACCGGAAATGTTTGCGACAGAGAGACGATGGAATATCTTAGGTCAATAGTTGGAGGAGCGGAGATACAAGTTGTTAGAGGAGATTACGACGAGGTATTATTGTCATAAATGACATTGCACTGCACTTACGCAACCGTAGCTTACAGGCCTTCCCTCATCGCTAACAGTAACTCACTCGAACAACTCGCTGCGTATAGGTCTGATTCACGGCCATCAATCGCTTCCTCTAGGATCACTAGACGCGCTCTCTGCCATTGCGCGTCAGATGGACGTTGATTTTCTTATCTCCGGTGCGACACACGCTGTTCAGGCAGCTGAGTACGACGGAAGGTTTTTTTTGAACCCTGGGACGGCAACGGGAGCTTGGACTGGCGCCTGGAATGGCTCCAAGCCAGGATTCGCTGTCTCAACAAATGAGGGAGTCAAGTCCACGGGACTCAATGGCGATCCAATACCAAGCTTTGCATTGATGGATATACAGGGCACAGTAGTTGTAACATATGTGTATCAATTCATTGACGGAGATGTGAAGGTGGAAAAGGTAGAATGGCGCAAACCGGATGGATATGGCGTGGATGAACGTGTAGGAGGTATGTCCGCACTCTCACATCCTACTCCCGAACCCTTTCTATACTGTAATTTATGCCGATGCTGAATACTCCCTTCATAGCCAAAACACCCATGACACCCGGTGTTGGCTCTGTGATGCCTCAGACTATACCAAGTCCAACACCTATGAGCCCGCAGAATGCCGGTTGGTGACCCTTGTACGGTACAGGGGAAGGCAAGCTTCACCGACAGCTGTGGGAAGGCAATTGGTATGTATCTGTAATACTATCTGTCCTTGATGCTATCATGGGATGAATACCATCGAATTATGCACTGGGAGTACACAAATTACTCTATTTAAGCTCTGTCCTTGTCGAGAGTGTGTTCCTCAAAGGTGTGAAAAAGAAGTACACAGGTTGCTTCGTGGATTCCTTTCAGCAGGGGACTTGGTCTTAAACGTTGCCAGGCTTTCTCAGACCATTGGGAAAGGAAGACAATACTACTCACTTCGACCTTCATACGGGATGTGGAAAGAACTCCCTCTTTGGAAATCATTTGCAAGCACCATTCTATTCTTGTCTGGATTCTATGACCATGTATATATGGCACGCTTGGCGAGCGCTGGGATTATTCGGACTCGGAGGATCCTATCTTCCACCTAGGGCTTCAAGGAAAAAGCTTCATAAAAATTGTGCTCTCTTCATGCACAATTGTAGTGAAATTGTACGTCACCCGCTAAAATCTCCTGTGACACCCCAGTTTCCAGATATAGTTATGCAAGCTCACCTTCAAGCATTTGAATTATTGGCTACTGTGTTCCAATTTTTTCTCGGCATCGATATTATACGCGTAATCCCGGGTTCTCATCTCTCTTTCTCAGCCCTTTTTCAAACTTGGATCGTTACATAAACAACGTATGGGATATTTAGTCTACAGTTGGTGTATGAAATCGGGAAGGGGCACGGGAACTATAGCGCCGCACTTTTAAAGTGTACTCGATCTCTTTCATCTTTTTTCAACCCTTTCTTGCCCTCGAAGAATCGGTCCACTCTTCAGCGACGTAACTAACGAGCCCAAGGTCAAACCAAATCATGTCTGATCACGATATCGAAAAACGCTCCGACGACGGGAGGAACGAAGATGTTTCAAGAGAGAACTCGGAGAAAGAGCAAATGAATTTGACAACCTTCCATGAACAGAGGGCTGGTCGTTTGGTTGTCTCGCCCGAGTACGTTCCCGTTTGTCTTCAACGCGCTTTCTCGCCGCCCACTTTTTACATAGAGAAGCCCGTATCGAATTCGGTGAGGCCATTGCCTCCAAACTTAAGCTATCCAAGGACGGAACTAAGGTTCTTTGGCCACAACCCACCGACTCGCCACACGACCCGCAAAGCTGGAGCACCAGACGCAAGAATCTTCATTTGTTTATCATCACTTTGGCTGCGATTGTCCCGGATTTTGACTCCGGAATAGGTATGCGATCTAATATATTTATCTCAACCAATCTTTCCTTTCCGTATTCAACCCTTAACCCATCTTGTTATGCTTGTGAGTCTCAACATTCCAGTCAACAGG